AAAGTAAGAGCCATGCAAGATATGCCCATCCTAGAAAATATGAGAGACCTACATAAATTCCTGGGTATAATAAACTATGTAGGCAAGTTTCTTCCTCATCTGACCTTCAAGCCACTTGACCAAATAGGATGTCATATGGACAGATTCCTAGCAAGCTGCATTTGACACTGTTAAAGGGTTTATCACCAACTCATCTGTCCTACAATGAAAGGAATTGACACTGGAAAGTGATGCCTGTGAACATGGCTTGGGGTCAGCCCTAATGCTGAATGCAAGACCCATCACATTTGCAAGCCGTTTCTGATCTGTTACAACACTCCCTTTTCTTCCGTGGGTTTAGTGATGGAATGTCTCAAGCCCATACACCACTGCCAGCATTTCTTTCTCCATTTGGGCATACTGTCATTCAGTTTCTAATCAGCCCACAACAAACAAAAAGGGATCTTAAATACAAGATATTTTTATTTTGGTGATGAAAAGAAATAAGCAATATGATTTCTTTGTGTGTATGTGTGATAAAGAAGAGGCGGGGTTGAAATTGAGGAGGAAATAGCTTGGTGAAAAAGACAGGTGAATGTGTAAGGGAATTTTGTTTAAGTCAAGCATCATGGCCTGTTACCATCTGTCTCTCCTCCTGGTTTGTCTGTCTGGAAACTTTGTTATCACAAAGAGGTATCACAAAGCATGTTTTTTTATTGTTGGCGGGAATGTGATCCATTGGTTGAAAAATGTTATGTGAACACCAAAGGACAAAAAAATGGTTTCTGAGTTGGAGGATTGTGCATTGATCTGGTTAAAAAAATTAATGCATCAAGAATAAATATTTAACATTTTTCAACCAATGGGTCGCATTCCTGCCAACAATGCTTTGTGATATCTTTTCATTTGTTGCAGGCTGATTCAAATCCGCAACAGAAGTACCTACTTTAAGTTTAAAACAAATGCTGTGAGATGAGTTTATAGACCCTGGGAAACCAGACTTTTATCGTAGCCTCTTCATTGCTCTGTTCACGTGATCAAGGGCAGATGTTATATATATTTATGACCTTGACCATCATTACATTGCCCCACTCCCTTCAATTTAATATAGCAAATTCATTTAGATTCATAATAAACCTAATTTTTTTTAGTTGTTTCAGTATTACAAACTTAGTCTGAATACTTTTCTGGAACATTTTGATACTTTTTGTACTTCATAGCAACTTTGGATTTATTTCCTTTTGATTTTGAGTGCAATGGCAGGCCCAGTTAATGTTAGTATACTCCCTTCTCATATAACCTGGCAACGTCTCGCCACACGGGGGAGGACGAGGAGGAGGTGAAATGCAGGCACCCTGGTCTTTTCGAACAGGGGGCCTGGACAGGTTATGCATTGAGTTATGTGCCTATTTAATTTTGTTCTGCCAACTGGCCGCTAGTTGGGCTTTCCTATACATTCTTACTTCTGGCATTCTTACCCTTTATTATTTCTGGCTATCACAGACTCTTATCTCCTGGCATTCCTTGCTTTTACTACTTCCAGTTACCAAGGACCCTTATCTTTCAGCATTCCTGGCCTTTATAGCTTCCAGCTACAATATGGTCCCTACTTCTGGCATCTCTGTCTCAACCTAACTCACCTGATTGATTGGCATTAATGGACCTGCTTACAACAGCCCTGAACTTCTAGATACACTAGGTCCCTGCTTCCAGCTTTCCTGTCAACCTAACTCTCCTGGTTTAGGAATTTGCTGCATGCATATCATCCAGACTCAAATAACCTACGCCGTACACTTTGGTTAAAATATTACAGAAGGTTCATCATTGGACTTAACCAACAACTTTTCAACACTTTTGCCATACATACTGAACTTTCGAACTGTGAACATACATGACAACTTAACTTGCATGGACTCTACCTTTAATATTTAGACACAGTTATCTAGCTCTTCTAACCGGTCAGTATTCCTCAATTTACTTCTGTCTCCATTACTTTATTCATTGTCATATACTTTTGTATGTGATGTAAAAATACAATTTTATTTTTGCATAACGTTTTATCCTCGTTCTGTTGTCCATTTTCTGTTCCATCTGTCAGATTTTACGTCTTTAATTTATAAACGTTAGCGGACCTGCTGTGACTATCCTTATTTGGGGCGTGCAGGCCATATTATATTGCGCTCCCTCCAGTCCAGAGTGTCCACTGTCAACTATAGTTTACTTTCTTGTTCTTGGGAAAACAGCTTTCTTCCTCGGAACCAGACTTTACTTACTTAGTTCTTATTGATTTATCCTTTGCAATGAATTACCAACAAAAATACGTGTGAATTTATGCATAATAATTTATACAAATAAATTTCGATTAGAATTCAAGAAGCTAAATAATTTTTAAAAAATGCGTCAACTCGGTAACTATGGCAACTAAAATTTTAATTCAGGTGTCAAATACAAATTTGTAAACAATATAGTATAACTTCAGTAACTTTTTGTGACTTGCTTACAAAAGTTAAGAATAATTTAAAGACTTTAACTAAAGATGTAAAGAAAAAAATTACGGAGGTCTATGTTAAAACTTTGTATAAAATGTTTTAAAAATGAATTATGAATGCCATTATTATTATTATTTAACAAAATTTTAAATAAGGGGGTGGGAAATTAAAAAATTAAAAGTTTGTCAACACTCAATTCAACTCAACAGGTAAAAACCAAAATTTCGACTATTTTCTCTTCAACACAAGAAAAAAAAACGAAAGATAAAATTTATTAGAACTGTAAAGTTGACAATAATAATGAGCTTTTTTTTTTTCTTTTTTTTTTCTTTTTTCAAATGTTTGTGATCCTTAGAGAGAAATAACAAAACCTTACCTTAAATTGATAATAGTGTTTTAGTCTTCTCCCCGTTCATTGAGTAAAAAACAGTTGAAAGCTTGTTTTTGTTTATGGCCGGCAACTCTAGCAACAGAAACAACAAAAACTGATGACGTTTTAGATTTTGTTTGCCTTTTTGTGACGTTACCACAAGATGCATTGAGGAAAAAGGAGGATGAAAGAGAAAAATAGAGAGATGAACAAAACAAAAAAAAAAAAGCAGAAAACCAATGAAAAAGAAAGAATAGAGAAAAGGAAAAACTAAATAACCAGTCATGTGAAGCATATGAAAGTAAGAAAAATTGGAATGCAAAAGTAAGATAAGAAGATAGAAGAGAAAAAAAAAAGGCAGAGAATAAGTTAAAAAGTAAAGTTGAAATCAAAAGAAATAGAAAACAGAGAAAATATAAAATAAAAGAGGAGGAGATGAATTAAAAAACGTTAAAAAAGAAATAGAAATGAAAGAGAAAACAAAGAAAAATATGAGTGAACGAAAACGGGAAAAATTGGTTGAAAAGATCAGGGGTAAGAAAAAAAATTCAAAATATTTGAAATTATTTATTGTAAAAAATAATAAAAAAATAAAAATGTTATTTATTATGCTTTTAAAAAATTATGCAATCATTTTAAAACACTTCTTTATTGTAAATAATTGTTGTGGTTTCCCTTTAGGATTTTCATCCGAGATAGCAACATTATTTTTAAGCTATTTTGCATAAGTGGGCTTATAATGGTTGGTTAATTCATTGGGTACCACTTTTGTGCCAAACTAAATGAAGCTTCATATTCAGTAGCAATTACTTGGTGGTTTGTAGGGGAGACGTTGAACAAAACAAATTAATTTCTATTTAATTTAATTTTCAAACTAGTATTTCACTAAAATGTTTTGGTTGCTAAGCTAAAACTCAATATTTATTTTAAATTCCATTGAAATTGAGTAAAATTATTTTGTTTTAGAACATCCAAGTTATGGAAATTCCATGGTGCATTTTTTCAATTCAATTTTAAAGAACAGTAAAAAAAAAAAAAAAAAAAAAGCAAAAAACACTTTGCTTCAGCGTGCGAAATATGATCCAGAAAGAATGTCTGTCAATTTTATTTTTATTGTGCCATCAGGAGCGATATGAAATAGAAATCGCTTGATAGTCGTTAGTAACCATCAACCGATTTGAAGTTATTTCGAAGTTTTACTTTTAAGTAACTAGTTATAAAAAAAATACGTATCAAAATAAAACAAGTTCCCGATGCAGGTCAGTTACCAAGAAGGAGGCTCGATATTTTTTAGAAGCAAATAAGTGATAATAATTAAATAAAAAGTTTTAACTTTACAATATTTTTATGAGAAGGTTCGCTCGATTTGTCAACTGTTTTACTTTTTTCTTCCTTGTTATCGACACTTCTCTATCTTCCTTCAAAGTCAAAAGTTCAAAAATAAGACGCAATGAAAATAAAATACCGAACCTGCTCGGTGATCAATCTAAAAACTTTCATCTTTTATTTTAGATAAATTACTATACTTCGCACGCAAAATTCCTGGTTTGGTCCGCTCGCTGTTCTCGTGCCGTATTTGTCAAGCGGAGCGACTGTATTATTTTTTTAACCCCAAAATGCTATAACAAGAAATTTAAAGAGAGTAGAGAAAAAAAAACTAATTATTTTTTAAAAGAATCTAAAAGGAGAGAAAAGCTTGCAAAAGTATGCTTTTTTGTCTTTAAAAAGGCTTTTTTTGTTAAAAAAAACATTGGACTTGAAATTTCTTAGTTATATTTGGATATTAAAAAATAATGGAATTAGGAAATCCGGTGTGTGACGTCATCAAAACATGATATACAACTTTTCGTGACGTCATCATAACACCGGCATCTTGGTCGACTGCCAGAATAAGCCGTCAGTTTTCTTTAACATAAAGTCGTATATCGAATCATTTGATTCGAGTGACTTGTTAATAGCGAGAGTGAGAGAACAAATATACAAAAAACGTCCAGTTGCTCTTGGTTTACAATAGAGGAAAATACAAAAAGGAAACCTATGTACTCAAATTATTTCACTGTTTGATTAAAAATTCCTAACTACTGTCGCTACTTAACAATTCGCTGCTACCTCAGAAGACAAATTGTTCGGAAAGACTTACTTTTTTAACATAAGAAGCAATCATGGTGATCAAAGTATACATTTCAAGTGTTACTTGTAACAACCAGGTGAGAGGAACAAATCAAAAATAATCATTACCCTTTCTTCTTAAAATAATCGCGATTGAGGAGAAAAAAAAAAAAAAATTTTTGCTTGAGTAGTCAATTCTAGCTCAGTTACAATCAAATTAACTTATTTTTACCGTACATAATTAAGTGATATCCTTTTTCTTACGCTTTTTTTGTTTGTCCAAATTTTCCACTCATTCATCATTTATTGAAGAATATCCAGACACTAACTCAAATTGTTTTGTATCCATTATTATTTTCACTTTTTATTTTGTTACATTTTTCCTTCTTTCACTTTTGTACCATAAAACTTTTGTTTTTATACCTTTCCTCTTCTTATTCGTGTTGTCAATAGCAAGATTTTTCTGTTCGGAACGGCGATTGTCATTTCTTTTTTTCTTAAAAAGTTAGAAAACAAAACCATAAATAATCCATACAAATGATGACATTTACTGTTCACCACGAACATTATGAAGACAATAAGTCATTTCGTGGTAAATAACGATTTATTTTAGTTTCATGCAAAGAAAACGTTCCTTTTTTTTTTTTTTTTTTTAACATAACTGAACTGGCAGTATGCATTTTTAAATGTTGTCATATGAAATAGTTATTTTCAACTTTCTCTAAAAAGATAACAAAAAGCTCAATTTTGAAAAATTAATTTATTCAAAACCTAAAAAAAATAAAAAGCCAAATATTGAAAAATGAAGACGTTTACAATACACTTACTACACTAACTACTACAGACTACTAACTACTTATTACGTAATTTACATTGAAACTAATTAATAGCATGTTTTGTTTCTTTTTTTTTTATCATTTTTAGTTTTTATTTAAATTTTTGTTTAAAAATTAATCGAGCTGTCAGGATTTTTAATGGCAGTTGTTTACTTGGTTGTCACTTGTCATTCGCTTGACGTCTTTAAAATGTTCGTAAAAAAAGTTTTAAATGATTTTCAAATCGCCATCTTTGCGTATGACTGCGCATCATTTAGGACATTTTTCTGAAAATACCTTTTATTAAAATGTTTTAAATACAATGAACACTGCTGGTATTATTTTATTTGTTTTTTTTTATCTTTTAAGTTGATCACTAAAACATTTTCAAGGTTAGGGAGACGGACGGGTATACAAATTAGAAACTTTTAATTTTCATCAGTAAGGACTAAGGAGTGTATTTGTTTATAAATTAAGTAAAGAAACTAGGATTTTTTCCTGCTCCAGACATTTATTTATTTCTAAGACTTTCGCTATCTGTTCACTTAAAATAAATCATTAATGTTTTATGCCTTGTGTAACTGTAAGTGTAAAAACCTAAGTAATTCATTTTTTTACAGTACGCTTTTTTGTGTAATTAAAAACACAACTTGTAGGACACTTGCAAAAACGAAGTCTTTTTTTGTTTTTTATGTTTTACTTTAAACCCCCATTTCAGTTTTTTGATGTATTGTAAAGGTTTCATTATTATTTTTATTTTATTTTAATTTTTTCGATTACATTTTTTAAAAAATCTTCGGTGAATCCATAAAGAAACAAAACCACTTTTTGTTTCTGTGAAACATTTCTTCATGTCACTGAAGAGAAAAAATATTGAAGAAAAAGAACATTGTTTTTGCTTTTTTTGCATGAGATTCTGGCTTTTCTTAAAATAAAATGGCAGTAGAATGCCTACAAATAAAAACAAATAGTAACTTCTTTTTAATATTTTTGTTTTGTTTGATTGACATATGTTGGACACCATCTCTAGTTTCGTAGTTTTTCAGTGCTCCGTAAAAATAAGTACTACAAAATTATGCCACATGAACTTTGGTCATTCTAGCTAGCATCTTTTATTTTAAATACCAGCGTTTTACTTCTGCTGGTATTTAAAATAAAAGATGCTAGAAGATCCTTACCTTAAATGATTTTCTAGTTAAAAAAAAAAGCTAAAGCAGTAATCAATTATTACATTGTTTTAATTTTTTTCGATATGAAACGTGCTAAAAATATATTTGCTCCATCCCATTCTTTACGCACTTGGTATGCCTGTGTTTGGAAGTGTACTATGTTGCAATTCTACACGTACATGTGCTTCCAGACTATGTTGGTTTCGAGAGGAGAGGGTTCCTACCTACAGCTCAACTGCATAATAATGTTTACAGTTTTTACACTACAGTATTTTGAAAATACTATTTTTTCACAACTTTTAAAGAATCTTCTGATGATTTAACTAAAAAATATTACTTTTTTCTGAAGCATTGTGTATTTTAATTTATACTTCTACCTACATTACGATTTATTTTAAATTTGTTTTTTGGTAGCAAGTTAAAAAAAACAACTTGTTACACCTAAAAATAAATACGAAAAAGATATTCCAAAGATAATTGGGCCATAAGATTATATATCACGTTACATTTACAAGTAACTAAGATAGTGAGTATTTAATTCTTTGTACCGACTAAAAATAACCACGTTACTTAGCTAACTACTTTCGAGCAACTTTCAAGTATTTGTTCTCTTGTATTTTCACGCAGTATATGACATTGACATAGGAAGGCTCCGGAATATTCTTTTTTCATTTTTAATTACTGAGTCTGATTCCATTATTTAGAGTTGCTTAAACTAAACATAATGGAAACTTATGAATATATTTGTTACGCTTGTGTACTGTAGTGTAAACTAAATGTTTTTAAAAAATTATAAAATGAAATTGAAATATAATGAAAGTTTCATAATTTCATTTCGAATGAAACCGTGCTGTGTTGATTTTTTTGTGAAAGTAATTAAAAAAGGAACAGCAATTAAAAATGTTATTATTACAATATTGGATTCATTAATTATTTTAACATTATTTTTCTCTTTCACACAATATCTCTCTGTGCCATATGTTCCTTCCAAGCTTTCCATAATTTTCTGTCCTTTCTTTGTAGTTTGTAGCTCTTAATTTTATCTTTTTGCTATTTCCTCTAAAACCCTTGCTCTGTCATCCATTCACTAAAGCTCGCCATGTAGATTATGTGTTATTTTCCTCTGTCTCTCTTGCTTTCAATTCGTTCTGTGACTAAAATTTTCCAAGCCCTCTTTCCTCAATGCGCTCTAGAAATTTCAACTGTCTAAGTCTCCTTTTTGTTTCCATTGTCTCTAGAACTTCGTTGTTGCTCACACGTAGGTTATTCTCAGTATAAAACCAACTTTTCAAAATTACCACATGAGTGATACTGATAAGTGATAATGAATCAAAATTCTACGTTTCAATTTGTGATTTAGGGATAGAATATGAAGTATTTCATTTTTAGACTGAAGAAGTGTATAATGCAGTATTTTTGGACAATATATTTCTGTGCCTTCCACTAATATGTTACATTCTGTGCTTTTTAGAAGCTAGCAACAGACAGAAGAGTATATAGACCAGGACCTTATAAACAACCAAGTTTTACTTTTTATTTTTCTAGAATAACTAAAATATTTAATCTCAGAACTTCAGGATATGTTACATATTTTTATGTATATTAACACCAAAAATTTGATCGCTGATAGTGCTTTATGAGTTTATTTCATTAAAAAAAATCGTTTTTTTTTTTTTTTTTTTAACCCCCCCAAATGATATTCCTTGGGAAGCTAAGTCCTACTTGTGCTGAATATATGCTCTTGTTCCAAGTTTGGTGTTCAGCCTGTTTCCTTCCCAGTAGAATCATTAATTTATCTTTCTTTGGGTAGTAAGGTCTCTTGTGATACTGACAGTTATGTTAGAATGGGGAACCTATTACCTATATCATACAGACTTGAGTAGTGAGGAACAAATGTATTTATATATAAATAGAACATTAATTTACATTAAATTGAATTGATTTTAGTTAGTATCTAAGACAAAAATTTTGTTCACAAAAATATTGAACAATGACAGTCTTAAAATGAATGTACATTTTTCACCCCCACATCCAATGAAAGACCATAAGAAAAATGTCATTAAATGGTTATCAACTAATGTCATCAGAAAAGTTCATTCTTAACCTGAAAATTGGCAATATTCCCAATGTTTTTTTTTCCCTAAAGGATGAAAAGTATGTCTGTACAAGAGAAAAAGACAATTGTATTTTAACCCACAACTTCATTTTTAAAATTTTTTTTTTTTAATTTAAAAACATTCTTAGTTCTTACAACAAAAATATTCTTTAATTTTTGAAAACATTTTTTTTTTTTTTTTTTTCAAGATAAAAGTAAACAAATGAGAATGATTTCGTTTTGGGAAATGCATAAGCCTACTTCCTTTTTTGTAAACCATTTCTCTAAATGCTATGACGTAATTTAAAATTGTTGATTTGTACTTGTAGATACTTTGTAATGTTAATTTGACTTAACATTTTTCTCTGCATGTACACACACACATGCACTGAAACAAACACAAGTTTTATTATGCAAATCAGTGTTTTCACCATAACATTGATATTAACCGCCTGATATTAGTAAACTTTTCTGAAAATTTTTATGAAAGCAATATATTGCATTAAGTTTAGATTAATACAGATATTCTTATTAAAAATATTAACTTGTTTGGGGTGTTAGGCTTTATTATGCAAATTTTAAGTGTATATTATTTTGTAGCAAATAAAAAGGGCTAAGATTAGCATGTGCTGATTGTTAGAAATAGGCAGAAAACTCAACTGAAGCATTTTATGTCACTCATGCCAATGACTTCACTATATATTATATAAACTTGAACTGAGTTCATCAGGCTGTAGGATTTTTACCTCTGTGGAGTAACACGCTTACTTCCAAAAAGCACTTGACAATTGTTGGTTGATTCATAACAATTCATGTTGCATTAGATAATGGTTTGTTTTGCAGCAGTTGGTGGATTGTGTCATGGTAGACTTGATATTTGTTGGTTGGTAGTTCAACTTATGAAGACCATGGTTTGCATTGTCAGTCTTCTTTTGATGCAGCTTTCCACTCATCAGTAATGTATTTGTTACTTATAAGTAAATCCAAAATATATTGGCTAGAGAAACATATTTAAATAA